TGGCATTCCGGTCCCATGCAGCTTTTCCGGTTGTGCCTGCCTTCTGTCATAACTTCCAAGGTACCTTCCGTTCTTGCTTATATCTTTATGAATAGTTTCGAGATGAAAATATCATCAGTGATTAATATCAAACTTTTTGCAGATATCAATATGGAAGAAAGCAAACTTAATATTTCTCTTCTTTTTGTTGAGAAAACTGATCCTTCCTTTCTACTCTTTCACATTATTTTGCATAATTCTTCCTTTAACCATGTTTATACCTGAAGCCGAGCTTCCTATGTGGGTTATATGCTACGTGCCAATTATTATGACATTACTTAACATTCTCCCAGCGCCAAAAGCCATTCCGTTCATCGCCCCCTACCTCCTTTTCGAAAACACCATGTCTGTAACCAAATTCAATGCAATGGTATCGGGACTCTTCCAATTGGGCAGTTCGTATGAGTGGATTGTGACGAAAAAAGCAGGCAGGTCTTCGGAATCCGACTTACTGGCTGTTGTTGACAAGGATATGAAAGCATTGATTCAACCACAGATCATCCGAGGTGCTTCTGAAAGTGATCTTTCTGAGTTGAATCTGTTGAAAGAACAAAAGCCTCGGCCAGTCAAGAAAACTAACAAGATATACAGGAAAGAGCTAGCCCTTGCTTTCCTATTGCTTACAGCTTCAGTCAGAAGCCTTTTATCTGCTCAAGGACTCCATTTCTACTTTCTGCTTTTCCAAGGAGTGACCTTCCTTCTTGTTGGCCTTGACTTGATTGGAGAGCAAATCAGTTAACAAGAAGAGACAATGACAGCAAGCGAATGGCCAAAGAGTCACCATTGAACATAGCTTGTACACTTCACCACAGTCAACCAATCTTTTCGAGTGCATATCGGCCAAGTCAATAAAGGTTCGCGACATCATGCAAGTCATTTTATATATTTATCGTTCTCTTTTTCCTTTTTATCTACGTTAGATAGGACAACGGTCACAGTAGTTCTCCACATGTAGTTATTATGGTTAAACTTTTAGCATAGGTCGAAGAAAAATCATTTTTTTCCCATATATTCTCAATGTTGCACCATTTAT